TTGCTGTATGTGTCGTACAATTTTTGAATCAAGCACGGGCAACGCCAGGCCATGCTGCTAGTTAATAATAATAAAGATGAGCGCAATAGTATGAATATATATAATAAGCCTCAACAATACTGGAAAGGATCATGACAGGGAACTTGAGAAACCTATTATCTTGAAAAATTGTTTTTAGAGAAAGATTTTATAAATGTTAACCAACAAAAGAACTGTCTATTAACACTATTTACATTGTTCGGACTGTTGTCCTAATCTTTATTGTCATATTCATGACGTTTCAGCCAGAGTATGCTCCAGCCTTCTTCAGGTGATATAAGTTGGAATTTCAAACTGAACCCTTGTAATTACTGAAATCTGAAACTGAGATATCCAGAAAAGACATGGCACATGGAACTAGAACAACTTATTCTGGTGGATGAAAAAAAGGGTTCTGTTTGAAATTCTAAAGTATATCACCTGAAGAAGGCTGGAATGTACAATGGCTGAAACGTCATAAATATGACAAGAAAGATGAAGACAACAGCCCGACCAATGTAAATAGTGTAAATAGTTACATCTCAGAAATATAGACAGATACAGAACTGGTTGTTTGGTCAATGAATGCCAAATGTTTCCATATAAGGAAATGGCTAACTTTACCATTACCATTACTGTAGGTGGATCTTCCCTTGCCCTTGCTTATCCTGCTACTTACTAGCTAATTAAAGATACATACTTGTTAAACATGATGTAAACAAAAGAACATCATCATACCTATAACTGAATATCCATTCTAATTAAACGATAATGTGCATAAACAAATCCTTTCACTAATGTAGTTACATCAAGCTGTCAGCTGTATACAACCACTTTCTCAGCTCAATAGTTAAAAATGGCTTTGAGCAAGTGAAGCATGTAGGTCTTAGTGAATAATATACTAGCTCAAACCTTGTGGACTAGCACTACAGAATCACAAAGAACTATACAAGATAACAGAAACCACTTCACTTGAGTACTTTTAACAGTAGTAGCAACTAAAATAGATAGTACATGAAACTCAAATAGAAAATAGTGACATAATCAAGATGTTAATATTCCACACTACTTCAAGCAAAAGTTTAGGAAAAAAGCCTCCCTCCCATCAATACTGTAATGATCAATAACAGTTACTTGACTTGAAAAACCTATTTTCCTGAAAAATTGTTTTATTAGAAAGACTTTATAAATTTCAACCAAAAGAACTACTGTCTGCTTGGTCAATAGATGCTGAATGTTTCCTTATAAGGAAATGGCTAATATAAATGAAAAAAGAGGATTAGGTTCAATTCTTATTGAGAAGCACATTTATTTTTTAGTAAGACAAGTCAATCTAGGCTGTGTATTCATTTCACAGTTTAAGAAAATAAAAAGAAACAGGAATAGCAACTTACATGTAAACCTAAAAAAATAAAAATAATTTATATCATGATAATATATATATATATATATATATATATATATATATATATATATATATAAGTTAAATTAGTTAAATTTTTTTTACATTGAGCTCTCTGGATTACATCCTCCTTGGGATTATCCTTTCATTATCTAACTATATATATATATATATATATATATATATATATATATATATATGATAAAATATAGTTTTAATGTATGCTATATTTATGGGTTAAAGTGCTCAATATCAGGGATAGAGTGTATGTAAATATAAAAGTGGACATTGAAGTCAACACCAACAGGCAATAGTCTGTTTCATGCTAAACACAATAGTTGGGCCATGTGTGTTGTGTTTTTGCTCAACTATTTATATATGCATGTCAGGGATGCATTGTGGGTAGTCTATTGTATTGTATAGTGGGTAGTTTGTTGTATTATTCTAACAGTTATTTTGGTGGGTGGTAATGGGTGTATTTTGAGTTATTCTAGGGGCTATTGTGTGGAAATAATTGTGGATCTGAACTCAAGTTCAAACCTCTGTACGTCCTGGGTATGACAATAAACTACATCCACGTCCTGGGCAAGACGATAAACTACATCCAACAGCAAGGCCTCTGTTATATTTTTGAAAAAATAATATTACCAGCTATACATTTTTGAGGAAAAAAATATTAACAGAAATAGATTTTTGACAAAACAAAAATATTACCAAGAAAAAAAAAAGAAAAGTTGTCGGCATTGAGGTTGATATGCCGTAAAACAAACCAAACCAAACCAATCAAACCTCAGTTTGAATGTGAATGTTCTAATCACTTGGCCATACTACTTATATATAACTCCTTTTATTTTATTCACTATATCTCATTACTAGAAGAGGCTTATAGCCACATCATGTTGAAACACCATATATGATCAACAAAGTTAAGCAATGTTGATCCAGGTCAGTATCTAGATGGGTGACTGCTTGTGAATACCAGGTTTTATAAGCTTGTATATGCTAGTGGTTTAATGAATAATGGCTTGGAATTGTTAATCAGAGAGTTGAGTTCCAATTCCAGTTGGGTTCGTTATATTCACTTATGTGCAAATACCCTTGGGAAAGGTATGAAGCCACCTCTCGTCCCAGTTATGGATTAATTAGTAAAACTTGTATCATAAACAATTATTATCATCCCCATCCCTAATTCTTACAATGTAAAAATATTTTCTGGCTTTAAATAAAAGAAAGCCTTAGAAAATGAATCAATCAAATAATGAAAATACATGCATGCGTGTGTGTGTGTGTGTGCGTGCGTGTGTGTGTGTGTGTGTGTGTGTGTGTTTATTGATGACATGGAAAACACAAAAAACATAAATCTTTTACTTTCAGCCCATTCTGAAAAATTGAATAAGGATTTATCTTAATTTCAGAAAAGACTATATGAATCTTTTGCTTTCAAGCCATTCTGAAAATAGGATTTACCTTAAATTCAATGCAGAAAAGCTGGGAGAATGTATAAATAAATTTCAGCAAGTATCGGAAAATTCTAAAGAAAAGATACACAATAAATATCAGTGGTTTTTTTACAAAAGTCATGCAATTTCATTCTTTTCTTTGTTTACAAGAAATGCCAGCTTAGCAGAAAAAGTACTAATGATTTATTATTTAAGCATACACATGAATACACACACATTTCTTTCTTTTGTTTTTGTTGTAGCATACCTACGGATGATAATGGATATGTCCCCATTCACATAAATACAGTAGTAAATATTGTATGTTGGTCTGCATTGTGTAATTGACTTGACTCATTTCTAGCCGTTGATTACTTCTTTTATGCGCCACTGGTGAATCTTATGTGTTGTTCTTGTCCTAAGTATTATCATTTATTACCAACCGTCATTTGATTATTCTATTCATTAACCTTCACTAGATTAAAACAATTTTATCTGATGAAACCTAGTAAGGCTGAAATGTGTAATCTTGTTTCAATGAAACAGTTTTCCATTTGTCATATTCTTCAAACTTTATCTGGATTCTGTAGCCTATTTTATACACACACACACACACACATATACGTGCTATGACTTGGCAACATAGAATATTGGTAATAATGCCTCATGTAGCCTTGTATCAGGCTAAGCTGAGCTCAGTGAAAATGAATACAGTGGTTATATGTATAAGCTAGTGTTAAGAAATATTAGCACGAATGCATGAGACATCCTCCTACCATAATTTCATGAAAAAAGGAAACCATAAGTCATAAGTAGGAGTCATAAGTAATTTCCATTTTTGGGAACCAGTTGTAATGACGAATGTATCATCATGACTACTAATCATATGTGGAAGTTAAGAATAAATTTGGAGTACACAAACAAATCTATGTTGTTGCATGGCAGTATATACAGTGGATTAAAGAAGCTCACTTCAAAATTATTTGGTTGAGTCATGAGTAATTTATATTTTTAGGAAACAATTGTAATGAAAAATGTATCATCCTAACTACTAATCATATGTGGCAGTTAAGTGGAGTACACTAGCATAAGATAGATAGATAGATAGATAGATAGATAGATAGATAGATAGATAGATAGATAGATTAGGTTGAGTTATAAGTAATTTGTGTTTTCGGGAACCAATTGTAATTACTAATCCTACATGGAAGTTAAGAATAAATTTGGAGTACACTGACATAGCTTAGTGTTTGCAAGGCAGTGATAGCATTCACGGTAGATTAAAGGAAAAATGTTGTTTTCACCCTTGACAATGCAATATTTTTGCTTAGGTAACAACTAATGCTAATCTATAAAGTAAATAGGTTTTCTCTTGATTTTTGACTGAATTTTTCAAGTAAAATGTTCAGAAAAATTTCCATTTTTGGGAACCAATTGTAATGATGAATGTATCATCCTGATCAGTGCTGGATTTATCATTGTGCTTAGGTGCGTTTAAGCACAGGGCCCCATTAGTCAAGTGGTGACCCCCATCTTCCTTCCATGCCTATGCAGGCATGCTGGTCCTACCTCCTTCAGGGCCAAGTAAGGGGCCTTATAACTTAATTAGTACAGGGCCTCATTTGTTTTAAATCCGGCATTGATCTTGACTACTACTAATACAAGGCAGTTAAAAATAAATTTGGAGTACACTAACATTCCTTAGTTTTTACATGGCAATGGCAGATTACACAGTGGATTAAAGAATAAATTTCTTAACCACAATAATGAAGCGATTGAAAGTAAATTTATGTTATATTATGTTGTGTCAGTTCAAGCTAAGGAATAATGGTATGGAAACATCTAGAAAAATATATACTATTTATGGTTATAGCTGACTGGCAAATATGAAATTGATTTAAGACATTTAATTTGGGATTGATTGATTTGTTTTATGACTTTAAAGCCAGAAAATATTTTTTATAGATTGTAAGAAATTTTTTGAGATGTTAAGGATTTACTGATACAAGTTTTACTAATTAACCCATAGTTGGGTGGATAAGAGGTGGATTCATGCCTTTACCAAGGGTATTTGAACATAAATGAATGTAACAAACTTAACAAACTGAACTGTTATCCATTACACCACCTACACAGCAAAGCTTACAGCACATGGTATTCCCAAGCAGTCACTCATCTAGGTACTGACCAAGCTCAATGTTGCTTAACTTTGGTGATTGTACGACAACCAATGTTTCAATGTGACATGGCTGTAAGACCAATTTCATTCTGGAGAAATATCATTGGAAGATGAAACCAGACCATGTTGTTCATTAAATTTTGATGATGTGGCTCTAAGGTAATTAAGTGAAACGTAATCTACAGCAAAATACTTGGTAATTTGCGAAGATTTTAAACAGCTCACATTGTGCTGATACTTAGAAAAAGGTAGGGAAAGTTAGCCAGCTGGGTCTTTGGGTTTTACATGCTCTTCTTGAAAACAAAAAAGCAGGTTTTTTATCATCTATAATAACAAGTCACCTTTCACAACAAAGAAATAACCCATTTCTTAAATATATATTCTAACAGGTGATGAAAAATGGATTATACGTGACAAAGGTCAATCCAAACTACAGGGAAATGATAAGGATAAATGTTTACAACTGACCCTAAAAACTGTGCTCCATGGAAGAAAGGTAATGTTGTGTGTATGATGGGTATTATTCATTTAGAGTTCTTAAAATATAATGAAATACCAAATTATATGTCCAGCAGCAACATGTACATAAAATATGGTTGAAAAGTGCTCTGTGCACATCAACAGGAAAAATGTTCTTCATGATAACCCAAGGCTGCGTATATCAAGAACAATACAAGAAACAACTTTGGAACTTGGTTAGTCTGTTCTGACCATGCAGCAACTGATTATTACTTGTTTTTGATTGTTGCAAAATGCTTTGATGCAAAATGCTTTGATACAAAATGCTTTGATGCAAAAAACCTTCTAGTATGACACAGGGAACCAACTTTCCTTGCGGTGGATGAAGCTATTGACTCAACGTATTTGTTCCATCTCAGGTCAGCGGACAATGTGAGACCAGGCAGTCACAAAGAGGTGCTCTCTTGGAGTTTGGCATCTAATGGGAGGCAAGGATAGTTCCCTGTGGTGAGTTATAGAGAGCAGTTTTGTTTTTGAGGCATTAAAGTTAACCAGCCAATTCCTAACCCAGTCTACAACTGATTGGAGATCCTTTTCAAGACCAGGTTAGTTTTGTCAGCGATACCAGATTTGCTTTTGCGGCAGGAGTAAATAGTAGTGTCATCTGCATAGATGCCTACTTGGGAACTGATGACATCAGGAAGATCGTTAATGAAGATAAGGAACAAAGTAGGGCCCGTGATAGAGCCCTGGAGAACACCTGCGTTCGTGGGAAAGGAACTGGAGGAGAATCCATTAAGGACGACCTTTATTACACGGTTTGACAGAAATGATCGTATTAAGTCAAATAATCAACCCGAAATTCCGTATCCCTGAAGCTTAGGAAGGAGGCCAGAATGCCAAACCCTATCAGATTTTTTAGAGATATCTAGAGCCACGGCACAAGCCTCTCCGTTATTGTGAAGTGCTTGGTAAACAATTTCAGTTATGGCCGTGAGCACATCAGCTGTAGACTGGGCAAAGCGGAAACCATATTGCTTGTCAGAGAGTAGATCATGAGGTATAAGGTGCTTAGCCACTTTGGCGTTGATTAAAGCTTCAAAGACTTTGCCAAAGAGTGGTAGGAGACTGATGGGACGGTAGTTAGACGGGTCAGAAGGGTCTCCAGATTTCTTAAAGACAGGTAAAATAGATGAGGACTTCAAACAGGCTGGAAGGCAAGATTCATTGAGGCAGTAGTTATATAATTTGGAGAGGGCAGGTCCAGTTCAGGAGCACATTTCCTCGGGATAATGGCTGGTATTCCGTTTCCACCACTATCCTTATTGGAGTTTAAATTAAAGATGATGCCCAATACCAACGACGGGGTTATATGCAACTCTCTCAATAGAACCTCAGTTCTAGGGCGAAATCGGGTGTGTGTACACCGGATGAGTTGAGCGTTGAGTTAGATAAGAATTTCCGAGCAAAGCATTCAGCCTTATGAGCTGAGGCGGCCAGCCCTCAAATTGGTTGAACAAAGGAGGTATTATGGATTTGCTGTTGTTGAGTACACTCTTGCAGAGACGCCAATAATCCTTGGGGCCGAATTTGCGAGATACAGTACGTTATTTCATTCTATCAGCAAATAGTAACTTTGCTTCATTGAGGACACGCTTGCACTCATTACAGGCTGAGACAAAGAGAAGTCTGTTGCAATCTGATATGTCACTATGATATAAGTGGAATGAGTGATTCCTATGGGCGATGGCAGCTGAGCAAGCAGCAGAGAACCAAAGGGATGAGCCGATATAACCTTATATTTCCTTGAGGGGATGAAATCCTCGATTCCAGCTTTTACCCAGGAGGAGACCTCGGAAACGTATTCTTGAGCGGGGAGCTTAAAGACTGCATCCCAGGGGACATCACGAAGGAAAACCCGGAACGAGTACCAGTCTGCTCGTTGATAACAGAAAGATATTGTGTTGGTAGGAGCTTCTTTGCTGGGGGTAGAGTAGAAGTAGATGTTGACAGACATTACAGCATGATCAGAGTTGTCAAGAGGGCAGAGCTGCATGGTGCGACAAGGCTCGGGGATGGAGGTGAAACAGAGATTAGCAAGGGAAGCCTTATCGTCCAGGTTGTTGGGGAAACGTGTCGGAAAGTCAATTATTAGCGTGAGGGATTGAGAAATTCAAAAGTTAAGGGTTTGTATGGCAGCAAGGTCAGTTATAGTGTTTTTAAGCCACTTGGTATGGTGGGCGTTAACGTCCCCGAACACGAATATATGAGCAAACGGATGAAGAGAGATAGCATTGTCTGTACTGCCGAGTACACTACAGTATTGGGAGGATGGAGAGCGATAGGGGAAGAAGAGGTAGCTTACAGCATCGAGGAGTGATAGACAGAGACATGTATGAATGGTCTGGAGATTAGAGAGAGAGAGAGAGAGAGAGCTCTCTATCCAGTGGGAGATGGAACTTGGTGTAAACTCTAAGGCCATGTATGTGGGTTTGAGAGTCTTTTTAAGAAGAGGGAAGTAATCGGGGAACGAGAGGTCAGGGAAGGGGATAAACAAGGCGAGGTTGGATGTTAGAAAAGGAAATGTTAAAGGGTTTAGGTGATTTTTTAAGAGCTGGTTTAGGTTTACTTTTTTGATCGTTGTCATGTTTGGTAATTTGGGTAGTGAAAATGTGAAGGCCTGAAGTAGATGTAGCAGATGGTCATCGTCTGTGATGTGGGTAAAAGGAGCTGGCGCAGCCTGCAACATAATGTAGCCTTAGGTGAATGCAGGGACACTCTTCCATGCATGACATGGTACTACTGGCACCCCAGTATTATACAACTGTTGATCAGAGCGGCCGCTCAAGAAGCTACGCAAGAGTTAGGGCTCCTAACTATCAGTCGGGAACAGCAACCAGAAAACTGTCAACCGTGTACCCTCAGAATGAAGAGGGTCACAAGAGAATCACGGCAGTACTAGTATGGAGGCCAGAGAGAAGGTGAGGAAGAGTTCCGGGAACCCCTTCCTAAACAAGAAACAAGGGGTGAGCCTCTACTATTGTTCAAGAGAAGGGGGAGGAGTATTGACCGGGCGGTAGGAAAGCATACCTACTCATATTACGCACGCACCCCCCTCCAAACAAAAGCAGCTGACAAGAAGTCCAAGCTGGCAGTTGACTCAGAGACTTCCCCCGCCCTTTGATAGGTCTCCGCTAACAAGCCAGCTAACTCAGGATATTTTCGACAGGAATACTAAGGGGTGGTGGTAGAATGAAAAAAAAAATTTTCCCTTCTTCTTTAAATTAATTTTTAACTTAGTATGTGTTATGGAGTAATTTCACAGTGGAGGCTTGTATTTGTACTAAGTCAGTCCTAAAATAGGTTCGACGTACAAAACGTTAGGAACTTGATATAATAGATATAACGAAGAGTAATCTAGTTGTGGTCGCTGATACTTTAGTATTCGACTAACTGTCGTCCGACCTTGACTGACCGAACTGACGATATTCAGTTACCCCCCCCCACGAGGGTGTCATGTGGCACAAAGCCTTTTTAACGTGGGCTCTCTGAGCCCGTGTGCTAGGCCAAAAATATGCCCATTGAACCCGTATAAACGGGTTCAGGGTCGGTTTACCTCCCCGAAAGAGAATCTGCCCTTCAGCGTAGCCTCCTTCGGGTTCCTCCCCGCCCGAAAGCAGAGAGTTCAACCGAACAGTCGGTCAAGAGTTGAGCGACTGACGATATTCAGTCCCCCCCCCCCACTGGGGCAGCATGTGACACAAAGTCAGTTATTTATTGTGGGTTCTCCGAGCCTGTGGGCTCGGACCAAAAATATGCCCATTGAACCCGCATAAACGGGCTCAGGGCCGGTTTACCTCCCCGAACGAGACTCCACCCCTCGGCGTAGCCTCGTTCGGTTTCCTCCTCGCCCGAAGGCAGAGAGTTCAACCGATCTGTCGTTCAAGACTTGAGCAACTGACGTTATTCAGTCACCCCCCAACGAGAGCGTCATGTGGCACAAGGCCTTTTTAACGTGGGTTCTCAGAGCCTGTGGGCTCGGCCAAAAATATGCCCATTGAACCCGTATAAACGGGTTCAGGGTCGGTTTACCTCCCCGAAAGAGAATCCGCCCTTCGGCGTAGCCTCCTTCGGGTTCCTCCCCGCCCGAAGGCATAGAGTTCAACTGATCTGTCGTTCAAGACTTCAGCGACTGACTCCCTGAGCAACTACTTCTACTTATTATAGGTGGGAGGGTCTATTAACTATAGAATAGGTGTGTTCCACTATAACAGTATGTCCCATTGCCTCTTGCTAAAACACTATTCGGTTATATAGCATTGTGGATAAGGCGCATCATTCTACTTACAAATGGCACGCTGGGTTCACTTATGCTGGGTCCGAATCTGTAGCAAGAATGGAAGAGTCAAGTTTTCCATCTCAAGTCTTGTTGCCCCCTTTGAAGATACAAGGACCAACTCAAAATAACACTGAAAGCCACTGGATTTGGGCCTAAATCATTTTAAACATAAGCCTGAGGCCATACCAACTGGCAGTGTTCTCTCACCATCGGAACTAAAATTTTTTAAACCACCAGAATAGTAAAGGAAGAAGCCAAAGAGAGAAAGGCTCGACA